AACAACATTTTATTGCTCATAAAGTATACTTGTGTACACATCGATTTGAATTCACTGCCGATATTCATAAGGTATTATCCAGCCCTCGCCATCTGTCGACAAAACATGGAAATAATATTTACATACATCTATATTCTGTTCAGAAAACATATGTTGTTCCAAAAAGAACTTTATCGTAAAGCAGTAAGAGTCGTCTTATGTTTGTGTAGTGAAATAAAAAAATGGTTTTATAGTAAAGTCAAATAGTAGGGCTAGGAGCTTCAGCCTCGCGGGTGGCCATTACCAGCTGCGGAGACAACACGATGAGCTCTAAAATGTTACTTCCATCTACGAAAGTTCGATATACGATGTTATTTTTATTTTGTGCATAATAAGCGTTACGCCCATTTGTTCAAGAATTGTATATCAATTTAATAATAAGGTTTTGATTTAGCGAAAAATTAATAACTTATTTTTGATGGAAGTTTAAGTTAATGAGATGTTTAATTCGATTCAATAAATTGAAGAACTCTCGTAAAGACTGTTTAAATTATTTCTTTATTTTTATTTTTTTAGAATTTGCTAATAATTAAAATATTATTTACCAGCTTTTACTACGACTCACATAAAATTAAGTGAGAAATTACGCGCAACATTTTAGCGCTCCCCGAAAACGTTAACTACAGGAATCGAATAGATCGCTATAATCTGATTCATTAAACACTTGCACAGACAAGTGTTCAGACTCGCAATAGCTAATAGGATTAGCTGTTTTGTCGAAGCGGCTTCACTGATACTGTGACTCGTGCATTAAACAGAGGTAGTCAAAATAAGATATTGTCTCTATTTATTATCTACTCTGTGATAGTTACATTTTAAAAAGTAAAATAAAATGTTACCAGTGTCGCAATATTCTATTAATCTATGGCTTCCGATTCTTATAAAGGATGTTCGGAAAAGATGTGGATAACCGAAAGCCGCAAATTTCTAAGCCAAAGATATCACTTCTTGAATCTATTGTTATCTGTTATCAAAGTCTTTTCTGAACATCCTGTATAGCAGTGATAATATAACTATATTGTTTCAAATAAACTGTAATACTTAAAGACAGAAAAGGCATCACTGTTTTAGTGTCTACAGGATTTTTTAATTGATTTACTGCACAACTCACATAACCAATCAACAGTTCTTTAGTTTAGCTTGTTTTGAATAAAAATATAATTTAAAGACAAAACGATAATTTCCCGCATTAATTTAACTGACTTTTGAATAAGCAATAAAATAATTATAATCCCCTTATATTTTGTATTATCACGCCCTAACCATTTGGTGACAGACAATTCGGGGCGAACTAAACGCTTGCATATTTCTATGTCACCGCAAACCATAAATTATAGTATTAGGAGATATCCATCGTTATTGGAACGCATTTGAATTTGTACCAATATTAGTGTCTATGACATATGGGTAAGTAGTTAATTTTATGGTCAGTATGGCTTTTGAATTAATTTCCAATTGATTATTATACATAAATATTTGACTTATAACGCTTAAGAAGCAAGATATAAATTAATATAGAAGATACGACACCGTCCGCGCGAAATTAAAAAAAATAAAAATAATTAGTAGCCTATGTGTTCTTCCAGACTATGTTCTACATGTATGCCAAATTTCATGTAGATCCGAAGGTCCGTTTTGATGATACCTTTAAACAAAAATCCATCCATCCATCTAAACATTCGCATTTTTTTAAGAGAAGGGGACAAACGAGTGGCGGAAACACCGAGGTGATCAACGACACCCATGGTCATCTGCAACACCCGAGGAACTGCAGATGCAACGTTGCATTTTTAATATTAGTAAGATAAGTAAGATTAGGATGGGTATCGAATAGATTGGCTACACTGCTGTACCCATAATGTCTAACAACTCAACTATGGTAAGAAATAAAATTAGCAATAATAATGTTATTTAGTCTGTTATGAGGGTCCCCAGGGTAGAAAGTGTCCTCATAGACAATTGAAAAATGTCAAATAGACGTAAAAACTACTTCGAATAAGACCATATTAATGGTATCTGCCTAATCCTAGATCATTCTGTCCGTCCTCATACTAAACTTCATATGACCTGTTTGTTTTCTATAAAATAAATATAATTCTAAATTCGATTGCTTTTCTGCGTATAATCCATTTAGTAATCATTTTATGGATACATTGTGGTCAGAGAAAGATTTATAATCATTATTTTCCCCTCATGATTTATTCTATCGTATCGGAATAATAATAATTTTACTAAATTAATAAGCGATGACCAGCCGTAAAGATTATCTCCGACCAGCGTTAGAAATCTTCGGAAGACATTTTAATACGTAGATTATGCTCGATACTATCCTATACCAAAATGTTTAAAAATATATATAATAGTATTTAACATTTCTCTGTTTACACAGAGTAAGATTCATAGTTTACTTAGGCTTTTGAAGTGAATGAAACAAAGCATTAGTTAAAAAATCAATATCTCTGCATCTAAGAAGTGCTTAATAGAACTTTAAATGGCATAAAATCAAATATAAAACTGGCATATACAAATAATTGCGTAATGCTCGCGCCACTTCAGTTACACAATGGGTAGTATTGGCGCGAAATCGGGGCCCGCACTCCACTCGACCATCTGTTTGATTTTCGAATAAAAAAAACGACCAAGGAGTATTTAAGTTATCGTTGCATACATTGTTATGGAAATTGTACCGCAGTTAAATTTTCTATATTTAATTGTAACTAAACTTATATGCATGTGTCCAAAGAATGATCTGTTCCGCTTTATATTTCTTTACGAATAAACAATTTCTGTACAAACAACAATTACGAGCCGTCTTGAATAGAAAATTGCAATAAAATGTAGAATGGTCGTGAATATGTCTCTAGGTTAAAATGTAAATGTCATGTGTGTGGTTTAATGAGCTTAATAGCACAAAGAGGAATTTAATATATCAAAATAAACTCTGAAAAACCACGATGTTTCACATCTCGGTCTGTTTTGCAATTATATAATATTGTATCGCCATCTAGCGGCTAACACGCTATACCGTTTTGTATTCTTTTGCTAATGTTTTTGTTTGCTATAAAACAAATCTTTTTTATTCGCGAGAACTAAGTAGGTGAAAAAATAAGAAAAACAACAAGTGTGCTTTAGTTATAAGCTTATTTTAAAGATATTTGAAGGATGTGTTTAAATTTTCAGCGAAATCTTTTCATCGATAATTCGGGCTCTTTGATTTACAATTGTCTTCAAATATCAAACAAAATAAGATATGACCTAAAGGTCCATGTTACCAGGTCATAAAACAAAAAAAATGTCAAACTGCCAATTTGATGCTGATAGTTTGACACTTGACAGTAAACAGTTGGTTGACGTCTACCTGTGCTGTAACAATTTGTTTCAATTATTTGTTGTATTTCTATGATAAAATAAGTGAAGTTATGTGTAAAGAGAAAGTATGATATACACAGAGTGTTGTTATATTTAAAAAATGTGGCAATTACTCCAAACACCTTGTTGTCAGTTATTACGCCAAAGGTAAAAATTTTACCAATGCCAAACTAAATGAATGTTATTTAACATTGTAATGAGGAAAATTAACATAAGTTATTTATTTTCAGACATATTTTAGCGAAAAGCAATGGATACTTTAACAGTGTAGTAAAAAATAAACCGGGTTTTACAACAAAACATTTATTTAGTTCTGCCCAAAAGAGTACAGAGAGAGCAAACACTTTTTTAATTTGTAGCCCTTGGAAATTGTGTGCAGGCATAAGTTTAGGGTTGGGAGCACGCTTATTGTATAATGGGACTGCATTTTGTAAAGCCAATGTCACAAGGACAATCCAAAGAAGACCAAACCTACATGATGACAGTGCAAAGTTTGATTGGAAAAGGTTTTTCGAGTATTTATTACCACATAAATGGTTATTAGCGGCTGCAGTTGCAGTAAGTATTGACTATTTAAATCTTATCCAAAATTAAATTACCTTTGAGTGATACCACTTGACCAATTTAAATTTAGGGCTTTAGGCAGAAGGTTTAGTCCTTAAAATCTATTCTATATTGATTATATTATAGCAAAAATAAACTGGCCAAATACAAATAAATAAAACACTGTTTTTAGGTTACTTTAAGGTGTTAACTTCTTTTCAGTCAGCATTGGCAGTTGCTTTCCTAAATGTATACATACCAGCTATGTTGGGGGTCATAGTAAACATCTTAGCCAGTATGAAACACAATCCTAGTACAGATTTTATTGAAGAGATCAAAATGCCTGCATTAAAAATGATCTCATTATATATTGGACAGGTAAGCTTTAACATTTGCTAACTTTTCCTTGTGATTTCCTCTGTATAGAAATACTAGCTGTCGACCGGGACTGTCTGTGCAGAATTAATAAAAACTTAATAAGTAGCCTGTGTTCTTCCAGGCTATATTCTACATGTGTGCCCATTTCAAAAGAAATTTAAAATAGTTTTGTTACTTTCTTTTAACAATTTATTTGTTTTACCAATGAAAACCTAAATACATTTTATTATGAAATTTAAATAGTATACATTTAAAGTAAATAAAAATCTAATATGTTTCTATTTATTCCAGGCTATTTTCACGTTTTTCTACATACATCTGCTGGCTCAAGTTGGGGAGCGTGTTGCAGCTCAAATGAAACAAGATCTGTTTGTGTCAATTTTAAACCAGGATATGGCATTCTTTGATAGAGAGAGAACAGGAGAATTAGTAAATAGGTATATTTGCTAAATATTTCTAATATGATTAACATCATCTTTGTAAAGTATGAGCTGACCCCCTTGACTCTGTCAGCATAGAATTAAAACAAACTTTATTTGTAGCCTATGTGTTCTTCCAAACAATGTTCTACAACTGTGCCCAATTTCATCGTAATCCAGTGAGCTGTTCTGGATGTACTTTCTAACAAATATCAATACACTTGCTTTATAATATTAGTAAATTTGTTTTCTTGTTTTAGGATAACAGTTGATGTTCAAGATTTTAAAAGTTCATTCAAACAAACTATTTCCGGAGGATTGAGGGCTATTACACAAGTAAGCAAAAATATGTTTATTACACATTTATGAATAGTGTACTACATAACCAATATAAGAGCGTCGGTGGCTCAGTGGTCAAGCACTTGACTTGCAATCTGCAGGTCCTGGGTTCGAATCCCGCCATGTACCAATGTGTTTTTCGATTTTCGATTTACATATGTACATTTTTTTGACGTTCTTACGGTGAAGGAAAACATCGTGATGCAACCTGCACATATCTGAGGAGAAATTCAAAGATACTTGTAAAGTTAACCCGCACAGGGCCAACCTGGTTGACTATTTCCTAGTCACCCCTAACTTAAGGTAGTCTCCGAGCCCTTTAGTGGGGACGTATAGTGAGCTGATGATGATGATAGTACCAATGAAAACAAGTTATTATAAAACCAAATTTAATCTTATTTCACCACTATTTCTAGGTAGTTGGTTCCGCTGTCAGTCTTCTAGTGATATCTCCGCATTTGACTGGGCTGACATTGATATGTATACCATCTGTTGTCATCGGAGGCACCTTCATTGGGTCTTTATTAAGGAAGTTGTCAAGAGAAGCTCAAGCCCAGGTAAGTTGATAAGATTATTATTATAATAGGTGTAGTGTTTTCAATTGATTTGTGTAAAAATCCTGTCTTGTGTTTAAAAATGTGTGTTTGATATGCACACAAATTATATTTCAATTGTAATTATATTATGTTAAGTTGTGGTTTATTTAAAATCGATGATAAATCTTATTATCTAGCTCTTTATTATACAATACTAGTTGTCGCCCGCGACTTCGTCCGCCTGTTATGAAAGAACTAGTAGACTGTGTGTAGCGACCATGCAGCCATTTTGATAATACCTTCTAACACCATCCAATGGTTTGGATGTATGGATGGATGGAGGTATGTTATTATGTATTTCCAAAAAAAATATAGAACACTATCTGGAAGAATACATAAGATTCATTTTGATAACTTTGCAAGGGTTTAAAATATCATTGAAATATGTCACAAATATAAAAATATTTTTTTTTTAAATTTCAGATAGAGAAGACAACTCTAGTAGCAGAAGAGGCGATATCGAATATGCGTACTGTTCGTGCGTTCGCGGGCGAGGCGGAGGAGGCGCGGGCGTTCGCGAACGAATGTGAGGCTGCTGCAGCTCTCAGTATGGAGCTCGGCCTCGGTGTAGGCATGTTCCAAGCTGGCACTAATCTGTTCCTTAACGGGTAAGACTTAGTAACAGACGCTTTGACACGTATTCTCATCTCTCTTACTCTTTGGTATAATACTGCAATCGAAAGCTATGTTTATATACATAATATTTTGTAAACGTACAAGAGTCTGTTTCACAATATCTAAGTTAGTCTTAAGTAAGGGAACATACCCATACTACGAGACCTATTTTTTTTAGTATTTTCGACCCCTTCCTCCCCCTCGGTGACCACTCGTAGTATATGCCAAGACACCCCCCTCCTTTAGTTTTTACGTAGTAATTCATAATTATGTTTTTTAAGTATTTCACAGGTTAAAATTGAAAAATAAATAATTAGGCTAAAACTCTTCTTTATAGCATAAGACTGCCAGCATACTTAAATTACTAGTGAATTATGTGTTATGAAAAAAAAAACAACTAACGACTACGTGACTAAAATCTGAGCCACCCCCCCCCCCTCCTGTGACTGACCGTAGTATTTTAAGGAGTCCGCTTTTAATTTAATTTTTTTGTACCTTTTTTGTGTGGTAATGAACAATTATTATATTGAATATGATCAGTATGGTGTTGGCGACGATGTTCCTGGGTGGACACCTGATGTCCACGGGGCAGATGTCTGCGGGCGACGTGATGGCGTTTCTGGTGAACGCGCAGACAGTGCAGCGCTCCGTCGCTCAGCTCTCCTTGCTGTTCGGCTCCGTGGTGAAGGGTCTCAGTGCTGGGGGACGTGTGTTCGAAGTTAGTCACCTCACTACAACTTAAGCGTCAATAGTCTAATGGTTAAGGGTACGGATTTCCGATCACGAGGTCAGGGGTTCGAATTCCGCCATTCGACTATTGTCGTGAACTATATCCTAGCACAAGCCTACAGCTTAGTTGGAATGGTAAAAGAAATACTAGTAAATTTACAAAAAAATGTGCTTATATTTTTAGCAACAAAAAAAACTTCTATAGTAACATGTCAGAAACGGGACAGTAAAGGGCCACCTTTAATGGACAGAAGGGTACAAAAATTTTTCTTTACCCGTCTTATACATCTTCTACCCTTCCGAATCTAATTAAAATTTGGTGGTGGATAAAAAAGTGTGATTATTTTTTTTTTTTTTTGATGTTTTTTTTAATTTTTTTTTAATATTCAGTATATCAATAAAGAGCCTCAAATGGACACGTCGGGTAAGAAAGTGATCAAGTACCACGAGTTCCACGGAGATATAGAGTTCAAGGACGTCGCCTTCGCGTACCCCACACGACCTGAAGCTGTAAGTCTCTAACTCTTGGAATAAATAAATGTCATTTAATTAATAAATTTACGAGTAAATAAGGCTAGAAAGCACAGCGGAGGATACCATGTTTCCAAACTAGCTGTCGCCCGCAACTCTGACCGCGCGGAGTAAATACAAAAAAACATTTAATTAGTAGTCATCCATCCATCCATGTAAAAAGTTTTATTGTTTAAAGGAAAAATGTAAAACATTGTATCCAAAGAATCATTTTATTTTCATTCCTTTGTTTTAGTTAAAAATCAAATTAATTTTATGTTTTCATGTTTATTAGGTTGTTTTGAAGAATTTCAATCTGAAGATACCGGCGGGTAAGACGGTGGCCATTGTTGGCACATCGGGTAATGGAAAGTCAACTATTGCTGCTTTGCTAGAAAGGTACGTTAAAAGAATCTTACCAATATTATGAATGCGAATGTTTAGATGGATGGATGTTTGTTTGATAGTATCTCCATACCGCTGCATGGAACTCGATCCTCTCTCCTCCGTCAAATCCACTTACCCTCCATCTTTTCATTATAAGAAAATTGTAGGAAGGGGAAGAGAAATATATTAGGCCTCCTACACGCACAGAGAGTCGGACAAAACACGAAGCTGACCTTGAACCTCAATTACAAGAATCTTTGACATTTTTGATATTGTCATGGAGGCGCTAGTGTGCTATTGTAGTTAATTTCACATATACCCATTGGATAAGATACGTTTGTTGATCTATAAGTGTTTTTTTTTTCAGGTTTTATGACGTTAATGAAGGCTCGGTGACAATAGATGGCGTTGATGTACGTGAGATGGATTGCAAATGGCTGCGGGGCAGAGCGCTAGGGCTTATCAGTCAGGAACCTGTGCTCTTTGCTACAACTGTCAAGGAGAATATAAGATATGGTAAACCTGAAGCTACTGACGATGAGGTAAGTTTTTCATAAAGTATTATTTTCCGACTAGCTTTCGCCCGCGACTCCGTCCGCGCGATAAAAAGAATTAGTAGCTTATGTGTTCTTCCAAACTATGCTCTACGTTTATGCCGAATTTCAGCGACATCTATGCAACCTTTATGGAGATACCTTCAAAAAAAGCATCGATCCAAACATTCGCATTTATAATATTAGTAAGAAGTAAGATTATAATTTATACATGAAAAGTGTATAAATATACCAAAAGATGGCGTTGCATGTAATCGAAGAGTTCACTTTGCATTCGAGAAGAAAACAAAAAAGCTACAATGTTATAACATTAATACAAAGTTTTATGTAATTAAATTATGCTTTAGGTTTATCAAGCTGCGATGACGGCCAATGCTCACGACTTCATTACAAGCTTCCCCGAGGGCTACAATACACTGGTAGGAGAGAGAGGGATGTCGCTATCTGGAGGACAGAAACAGAGAATAGCTATCGCACGCGCTGTACTAAAGGACCCACCAATTATGATACTGGATGAAGCTACAAGGTTTTTATTAGTAGTTATATTTGCTAGTAATAGTAATAGCTATTTTTAGACATTAGTTAGAATCCTTTGGTGCGAATGGCGCGCTTTTGTTACAAAGTCAAGTGTCAGAATGATTAGTGAGGGGACATAAACGTCGACATTTTAGTAAGGCTAGTGTTGTGCCAGTACAACGGCAGTGTCGGATTTTCTTTCTAACACTATTTAGTTATTTTTTAAAGGTATCTAGTGTTATTTGTAGTCCTCTATAAATGAAGAGGCTATACGATGTAGTTTTTTGTGCTTACTCGATTTTCGCCATTTTGGCACTGATGGTAGCGGTTTGTGGCAGTGGTGTAGATTCCCACATATAGTATTGTTAGATTTAACTATAATGTCACATCAACAGGTTCGTTTAAGTTGGAACGAAGCAAAATCAATTTTAAAACAATATCTATCCATTTATTATTTACTAATGTTTGTAGTATGTAGAAAATATATTTAACGCCATCTATTGTGTCTTTTTGTATATTACAGTGCTTTGGACTCGGCCAGTGAGAAGGTTGTGCAAACTGCACTAGAGGGCGTGTCTCGCGGCCGCACCGTGATTGTTATTGCGCATCGTCTCTCCACTGTCATGCAAGCTGACATTATTGTAGTTCTCAACAAAGGGAATATTGTAGAGGTACGCACTCTGTCTCTTTCGCACCTTTGCGTATTTATCTGTCTGTCTCTATCTTTCTCTTCATAATAGTATACGCTTAAATGTCGTGGTATTTGTAATACTTTTCATTTTTTAATTTATGCTGTAACTGGCCAGTATGTTTTAAATTGGCCTTACCATGGGTTACTGAGTCCAAAATCTCTTTTTAAAACATATTGTCATCCCTGTCATTATCTTTGACGTGTATGATACATCAATAGGTTTTAAACTGAGATTTTGGTCTAAAAAACTCACGGTAACACATCTATTTAAAATAATTTAATATTAGTGTTAAAAATGGCGTATAGATGGCGCTGATTTTATTAAAGATGTAATATAGATGGCGCTGTTAATAAGTTTTTGTAATTACAGATGGGTACACACGAACAGTTGAAAAAACAAAAAGGCTTCTATTGGAATCTTATAAAGCAACAGGATCAAGATCCCGATGGAACTAGAAATCTATAAATATAGAAATAATTAGTAAAATATTTTTATTTATTTGTGACGTGTATAATTCCAGAATTGTACAAACTTTTTATTTAATTTTAAAAAGAGCGTCGGTGGGGACGGTTCAATACTTGACTAAGTGTTGAACAGTCCCCACCGAGGGACTCGGAACCTACCATAAGTTAAGGGTGACAGTGCGGGTTGGTTGACTTCATACATATCTTTGAATTTCTTCTCAGATATGTGCAGCATCACGATGTTTTCCTTCACCGTATACAATAGTAATCAATTTAAATAGATTTTTTAATAGAGAAAAATATAAAAAAAATAGTGTTGAATTATATTTGTTTTACTTGTTGTTCTAAGGGTTTGTTGTTTGTGAATTACGTGATGGTATATTTTAAATGTTTTGTCTTTATTGTTATATCTGTGATCCATTAAATCAATGTAGAGACCAAATAAATTACATATAATAAATACACATTATTTAGTACATAAGCAAAGATGTAATAAATTAATTTGTTTCTATTCCTTTTTTATTTTAACAACTAGCTGTCGCCCGCGACTCCGTCCGGAATTAGAGACTTAGTAGCCTATGTGTTCTTCCAGAATATGTTCTACATATATGCCAAATTTCAGAGATATACATGCAAACGTTCTGGAGAGTTCAAACATCGATACATCCATCCAAACATTCGCATTTATAATATTAGTAACATTTACCAGTATCAAATATATTTGGCGAAAAAAAAATCTTTTTTTTTTCTTCTATATTATTTCATTGGTTCTCAAAACCTTTACACGACTTACTAAGATGAAATGTTTGTTTTACGTTATAAGCAAATTTTGCTTGAAAATTTTAATGTAAATCAAGTAACAAGGTATACGACCAGTCTTGGCCCAGTTAGTATAAGATAAGCGAGAGACGACCGACAATTTGTTCTATAAGCTGTACTTTGTTTACGTAAGATTTTATAAATGTAAAATAAAGATTTTATTAATTAAAAACCTTGGGTTGCGATTTAATAACTCTAACTAAAAAAAAGTTTTTTTTTTTTTTCAAAAACTTACTTACTGTTTAAATTTTAACAATGACTATCTTATTGTTGAGTCTAGGTCAAAGTATACAGCTGACGAATGTTTTTTTTCTTTTTTTTATATGATACGGTGGCAAACGAGCAGCCACCTAAAATCGATGAAATATCGAAGTGACCGTTGCCCATAGACATACGCAATTGCATATGCGTTGCCTACCTTTATTTATATTTTCACTTAACGTGATAAAACTGGCATTAGTCAAGGAAACTATTAAAAATAAAAGCCATCATCCGAAGAAATATTTATTGCATATTAGGATCACGAAAATTATTTTGTACAGTATGTAATTTTTAAACAACACTGACAAGTTATTTACAATACCTAAAGGCAGATATATACCACCTTTTGAGTTTACATTTTATATTTACAGATAATAACAATTTTTTTAGAATTAGACAATATTTATCTTAGAATTCAAGTATACTGACCATACATTACTTACTCTATGTTTTACCACCGACAACTAATCTATGATCTTGTCATAGAGTAAATGATTCAGAGCTGACTTGTCTTTGATATTTGTTATAAAAATTACTGTTTTGAAAAACGTTCTACGGGTCATTTAACTTTTTTTTAAATTCTATTGGTAATTTGGCCCTCATTCTATGGTTATAAATGAGAAATTGCAGATTAAAGCTGTTTAAAATGATTACGTCTAGCTCCATAAAAACAAAAGGAATGTAGATTAGCAATTTTCCTCCGACTCGGCAGTTGTAAAGGTTAGAAGATCAAGGACATTATTGCGCGGCAGTTGTCAAGTCAGCTTTGTTATATTAAAATTCCAAGAAATCTAATTTTAATTCCTTGGAATTTATTAATTATTACTTTAACACACACATTAACAATAATTAATATTGAAATTAAAAGGGAATAGTGAATTTACATTGACTAGTTATAATAGTTATTTGAGCTATCGTCTTAGTATTTTAATATAAATTTATATGCAAGTATTAAAAACACAAGATAAATATGAGATAGCAAAGTTTTTTTTTAATAAAATGTTTGAACTAATATACATACAGTATACAGTGTACATATGTATACAGTGGTTTAATTTCAGCGTTCCCTGGACTGTATATTAAAAACATTTGTATATCCATATGTAATTGACGCTGTATAATAAGAACACAATAAACATATTATATAAATTGTAATTAACTAAAAACAATTTAAAGAGATTGTCGTATCTGTCATAACTTAGTCTTTGACATATTATGACACTTTTATTCTTAATGTAATTGATAATTTTATATTTTTATCTATAATTTTAGACAAGGACAGCAAGATGATTTTTATGGTTTGTTTAGAATTTTTTTTTTACTATGACATCAATAATTATAATTTTATTGATAACGTTTACTTTAACCTACTACATCGATATTAATACGTATTAATATTAGCTATACAATACACATGTATCAAACTAAAATAATATAGTGCGTTAACGTTATCTGACCCGGTGTTAGTTTTTGGCAGCAAGTATGTAAAATATGAAAAAATATGAACAAGGATCTTGTGACAGTTTATGACATTAAAAGGAGCCTCCTGTAAGTAGTAAAAGGGTAATTTTTTATAATTTCCCACCGGGTCAGATAAGTTCGTCGGTCTATACTTAATAACAATGAAGACAATGGAATTATTATAGATAAAAGAAAGTGTGAAATTATTTACAAATTCATCTGCTAGAATTCTTGGATCCCTAAACTGTCTGTTTTATTTATAATCTTTGATATTTGCATTTTTTTTATATTATAGCTTCTCAAAATAATATTATGACTGTGTAGCTTTTTGGGCAGTAAAAAAACAAAGGTAAATTTTCAACAAATGGGCTTTAATATCATTACCAAAAAAGCACACCCTGTTTCACAGTTTTGGTGTTCTCAAAAAAAAAGATCTATAAACCAGTTTCAAAATTTAAAAAATGACAAGAGATTAAGAATAGACACCACAATTATTAATTTACTCTATATTAATTACGAACCAACTTACGAAGCTTATAACTCGACTAGAATGAAATGGTATGTAAATATTGTCTTTGGTACTGTATAATCAAGTTTATAAATCCTTGCCATTCCTACTATTATAAATTTGTACGGTTATACGTATATCACTTTTAATTCTTACAGTTACTTAAATAAAATCAATTTTAATGTTCTCGCACAAAGACGCTTTGAAAAATCTCGCCTGTTTTTGAGGCGCTGGGTTGTGGTGGGAGGTAGTTGGCATAGTCGCCTATCAGTGTCGGAACCGCTACAAATTTTTAGGATCAGCTTTGATAAACCTCCTGAATACCCTCTTTAGGTATGTAGGGTTCCTCAGTCTATATTACAGGGCCGGCGTTAGGGTAGGGCGTGGTTGGGTGAACGCCCAGGGCGCTGGACATAATATCTTCGCATACATAACCCTATTAACCTGCCTCCCAAGACATGGTAAAAAAGGGTGTCTTGTCCATGGCGCTAGTAGAGCTAAAATCGTTACTGAATGGTTGCAACCGCTTTGCTTTGTCAGTTTGCCACCTTATACTGCAAAAAAAATTGAAGGAGCATCGCTGAAGAGCATTCATGAACATGACATCGAGGTGGTAAGTTTTGTTTCTGACTATTCAACACGATAACTTGCGAAAGACAGCGATAAACTTATATACAGTACCAAATGCTTAACTACCGTGATCTTAATATCACCGTCATCGTAGGCCGAAGTGAACCATCACTGAGGACAGCAGCAATAGACAGGTGACGCTCGACGTGATGCCGTGTATCGCGCTTGTGTTGCGACGCAGGATCGCCGCCATCTTGTTGCCTGGAATTACACAAAATGGCAGCTGAATTTATCTATATCAATAGAAAGAGAAAAGAATCAATATCGAAATATTTTTTTTCGTAAGGGATAAAATATGCCGTTGCTGTACAATTCAATAATGTAACTTTACATTGCTTTAATTTTCATTTAAATCCTTTAAATTGATTGATGCAACTTATTTTCAATAATAAAAGGTATAAAATTACGTTATTGGAGTTAACAAACGCATTACACATTCGATTGGGTTTCGTCTTTCAATTTAACAATTAAAAGTATATGAATTTAATCCAATTTGTAAAGCTTTTCATTGATTGCAACTCGTGTTCATGTCTCTGTGGTATATTTATCTGTAAATTTAATTCAACGTTTTCTTTTAATTTTTCGTGTTTCACACATTTCCACAGCAGTTATAAGACACCCTATTCTGTGCACGTTTTATTCCTTTGCAATGAACTGTTTCCAGCTTTTGAAAATGAACACGCTTTTAGAAACGAGTATATGTTTGGAGATTAAAAAAAATCTGCCTTCAAATACGGGGATAAATTTACAACTAAAATCTTGCTGCTTATTGAAAAATTTACTGTCCAGGAGATGATTAAGGGTTCTTGTGATCCTGGCACAAAGCAGAAGGTCCCCGTGGTTTTGGTGAAAAAACAAGATTAAAATAGTACTTACTGCCTTCAGAGACGAACACGTGTATTGAGGCGGGTTCGGTGTTGCTAGCGCTGCACGTGTAATTGCCGGAGTCTTTCAATGTAGCGCCTCGTACTGTGAGCCGCGACTGTGTACGCGCACCCGGCTCCGTTTCCACCGTAATGCCGCCACGCGTCGCATCGTAGTTTATCATGCGGTCGTTGTGGTACCAAAATACGTATTGCGGTGGCGTTGGACTCTGGAAATTGAGAAATAGTTCAACAATACTATAATTGAAGGACGATGTCTGAACTTAATTAGAATATCACTTTTATTGGTAGAATAAAGAAGTCATTTATGTTAAATATTATATTGTTTCTAAGTTAAAGCGGTACTTATAAGTTAAATTCATAATTTTACGACTCTTTAAGGAAATTTCAATAAATTGGTCAACGTTATATCGTTTGAAACGTCTACCGATAACAATTCTGTCTCAGTCAACAAACGTATCAATGTATTTGTCCTTTTTTAGAATAGAAACAAAATTTTACCGAGCTATTTACAACAGTCGTATACGGTATCGTTAGGGCTGCCACCTTTCAATAAAGTTGGACCCGAACACTGGCTGAAAAAACTCTTAACCAGTGTATTGTCGACCAAAAAAACTACGGCATCCATTAAAGAACAAACAAAATATATGACTAACTCTGCTTTATACAGGACGATGAAAAAATATTATATCTAGCGACATGTTTTACCCACGTTTGTCGTCTCGGCATGTAGTTTAAATGCCACCATGTACCTCTAACTTTGGGTTTGACCTGTGACAGCCCTAGATACTGTTGGTCAGCGAGCCATCGAATTTACGGCCACCATAGCGATAGTCGTTAACCCGTAACAGTGAGAATACCATTAGTGACCAATAAAAGTTACGAATGATCTCATCGCTATAACAATACTAGCTTTTACGCGTCCAATTGCCGACTATATACATATATGTCTGTACACGGAGGGATATCCGCGTGATTAAATGGAAGATATCGTCTGGGGATTACGAAATTTGGTTCGCAACTAATGTACCTACAATTTTGTTTGAATGGACAACGAAAATAAGTGAACGGTCCATTTGACGTTATAGCAGTTATAAATGTTGAACTATTAATATAAAAAGATTAAATTCTATTCAACAATTCAACTACAATTTCTATTATATTTAAAATACAATTTACTAATTTTACTTAATGTTAGCTGCAATGAGTTTAACTTTCAAAGACGAAATATATCAAACATATATGCATCCCTGTCATTATCTTTACAAAAACAGAGACATCAGTATTTTTGAAGCTGCAAAATAAATCTGATTAAAGATAATGATATCACTTACTTTCTCAACAATACAGATGAGATGTATAACGCTGCCGAGGTCGACGTGGTGCTCTCCGGATCCCAGAATGAAAGCTTCGGGCACCACGATTTGTAGTCGTACGTAATGTGACACAATACCAGTGCGAGTTGATACCTGAGGATTAAACATGTATTAATATTCTTGGAAATGAAACGAGTGATAATTCTGATTCTTGAAAGTGGGACGAGTCTGAAAGATTAGTAAATGTCACATTCCTCCTTGAATTTATCATTAGCTGTCGCTCGGTCTCCGTCCGCGGGGAGTAAAACAAAAGACATTAGGAGCTTATGTGTTCTTCCAGGCTATATACTATATGTGTGCCAAATTTCATCGAGATCCGTTTAGCCGATTTAAAGATACCTTCAAACAAACATCCATCCATCCATCTAAACTTTCGCATTTATAATATTAGTAAGATATGCAGGTTTTACGATGTCTTTCGTAGTACATTAATAAGACTGTTATTTCTACAGAAGGCACTCAAGATAAATCATCTTATTGCGCATATGTACGGTATAGTATTAGCATTTTAAAGCGGCTTATTAATTTAGTTAACGCAAAAATGCTTAGGTTAATTCGTATTAGCGCTCGGGACGTGGACTACGCAGCGAATAATTCGTCTTCTACACTTTATAATTGTCGCTAAATAAAAGAAACGAAATATCTGTGTTTGGCCTAAACAATTCATATTTAGGTTTTTTTAAAGCGCTTTGACGACTAAAAGCATTCTATCCCGTTTTTGTATGTCATTCCGCGAACGCATTTGCAATTTAATGAAACATTTGAGTGCCTGCTGCAGCGCGTGGAATTAGCTGTTTAATCAAAGCACCGTAGCTAGTACTGACGCGGCGGTCTTTTGTTTCCAGCGCCAATCCACCGTTGGAATGTTTTACTTGCTTGAATATCTTTTGTATTGCGTTTACATAGCTTCGCTTTGCTTTCAGATTTTTTGATTGAAAAATTGAAATGTGAGTTTTTTTACGTAGTGAGTCGTTAAGGAGTATAAAGACTAATAGAAATTGAACTTGCTTCTGTATTGTAATATAAATTTATTTCTGATTCGGATTTATAAAATATAAATTGTTTCAATAAAATATAACAGTCCAATCCAGTTAAATAAATTTATCAAAACATTATTAAATTAAAGTAGATCAATTTCAGCGAATCGTTTTATTTTTTGTTTAATCAAAAAGCAAAGAAATAAACGAACATTTTTAAATCTGTTATTCAACTAAACCTTTGACATCAATTCGTTCAACATATTGAGGTTAAGTAAATTAAATGTATAATTATTTTACTGTTAATATTAATTTGAAGTGAATAACCAAACAATTAAGTCTGTCCAATCGGAACGTTAAATTTGGCAAAAGAGTTATCTTGTTTTGATATATAACATATCTGGTATAGTAATAAAAAGCCTTGAATAATATTAACAGAAGAAAGACGGACAAACGAGCAGTGGAGGGCGTTGGATCAATTAATATTAGACAATAGATTCAACGCACATAAACATGCACAACGCCAGAGAAACCGCAGATGCGTTGCCGGCCTCTAAGGAGATTAAATGCTCATCTCTTGAAGGCCTAAGTAGTATCTGTTTGGGAAAATTTGTTTAAATATTTAGCTAAAAATAATAGTTAAATAATTTCGTCTATATGCTAAATTTAAAAACGGAATTGTTTATCTATCAAGTGAATTAATCCTCAGCACACTTCTCCTTCTCATCCTTTCCTTACAAGGAAAGGGTGGAATCGAAAAGAGGACATAAAACCTCCGCTGCGCACACTTAACAGACGAAACGTAAAATTACATCCACTGCACGCCTGTCTTTGGTATACTCGTAGTATTGCACTGGTCGAGCCTGTCCATTTGTGCAACAGATGTTGTTGCTGGCGTCTACAACTGCTATAATATTATTAAATCATTGTTATCATTAAATTAGAATAATACTGATAATTATGTTATATTGTAAGAGACACCGTGAGTGAGTGTCAAGTCTCAGAAGATGTCGTGGACAGAGCGAAGTGGAAGGGACGGATTGGGAAAGCTGACTCCATCACCTTGTGGGATGCAAGAGGGTGAGAGAGAGAAAGAGAGAGAGTGAGTGCTTCTATAAGAAGCTGATCGTAAAATATTATGACGTCATAAAATAAGAACATCAACTAAATAAGATTTAATATTCGATATTCGGTTTATTTATTTTATCGTATATTTTTATACCGTCTGTTATTGACACATGAAGCTTCGTCTAAATTCTCGTTAACGTAACATCTCGAACAGATGCTACCAAATAAATAGCTAATCTGAATAATACGTAATCTTTTCGTACTTAAAGTTATTAAATACAAGCTGTCGTCTATGACTCCGTCCGCGCAGTTTAAAAAAATGTTAATTAGTAACTTACGTGTTCTTCCAGACTATGTTCTACATCTATTTTAGCAAGATCCATGCAGCTGTTTTGGAGATACCTTCTAAAAACATCCATACATTCAAACATTCGCATTCATAATATTAGTAAGATAATAACGAAAAGCCCGACATACTTTGGGAGGTTGTATGTGTTTTGTATGAATTATTTGTGTTTGTTATATGTTATCTGTAATCTAGGCTTTAAGTGTTTTGAAGTGTGTCTAATGACATAGCGTACTAGAATAAAATGAGTTCCTGTCTTGGGATTTAATAATCTAGGTGTGTAATTTTGTCTGTCTTATATCAGCTTATAAGTTAGTATTTACTTCCTATAAATTAGGTAGTAAATTATTCATGATTTAGATTATAAATTCGACTGAAAGTTAGGATTGCTAAAATAACATTTAACTGGAATTTAGCTTCGCATACGATGAGGGTATT